GCATTCCTGGCCCTCTTCCTTGTCGCCTGGCAATGGGGGCCTCTCCCCCGGTGGGGCCGTCAGAAACTCCTCGTCCAGCTCCATGGGGCAGTTCCTGATCACCGCCCGGACCGAGGAGGGGACGAAGTCCGAGAAGCTGGCCTGGTCCGGGTTCTCGCAGGCCATCGGGTCGGTGGCCAGCTCGCTGACGTCCACCGAGGCACTGAGCTTGAGGTCGCGGGCCCGGTCCGTGTCAGGGCCTTCGGCACCCGCGGACCGGGCCGCCGTCCAGACCGCATTGCCCTGGTCATCCACCGTCAACTGCCAATGCGTGCCCGCCATCTCCAGGGTGGCCGAGTTGGTCGCCGTGTCAATGGGCTCCGTCTTCTTGCCGCACCCCATGCACTTCGTGGCGCCCTTCTTCACCCAGGGCATGGTGCAGCAGGGGCAGATCCAGGATGTGGGCACCTTGCCCAGGGGGCGGTTCTCCAGGCCCCCGTACCCCAAGCCAGCGCGCTTGCCAACCTGCTGTCCCGGGGTGCTGAGCCGGGCCTCATGCTCGTACTTCATCTTGGCGATGTAGAAGGCCTCCACAACGCGCTCCAGGCCCCCCTGCTTGAGTTGGGGGCCCTCAAAGCCTCGCAGGAGCCGCTGGACGTCCTTGGCCTGCAGTCGGCGGAGCCTAGTGGCCGTGGTCGCATCGAAGCAAGGGAAGTCGCCCGCCATCTGGTCGTCGCTGAACTGGTAGAGGCCCTCCGAGACCTTGAGGGCCTTGGTGAACACGCTCCCCCCCGGCGGGGGGGCTGCGGGGTTCTCATCCTCCTCCGAGGACGCCTGCTCCTTGACCTTCGCCATCAGCTCCCGGCGCCTCTGCCACTTGGCGTCTGCCCGGGCATCCAGGCGGGCCTCCTCCAAGCGGGCTGCAGCCGAGGGGAACCTGGGCATCGGCAGCTCCTTCTCGTCCTTCGCCAGGAGCTCCTCCATGGGCACGTCCTCCTCCGGCGGGTTCAGGAGCTCCAGGAACGCCCCTGGGGGGCGTGTCAGGGCCTTCGGCACCTGCGCCACCCCAGGGGCTGCATCTTCCATCGGCTCATCCTCTGCCTTGCGCTTGGCCGGGATAAGGGGGGCCTGCTCCAGCTCATCTGCGCTGGAGAAGAAACGCTCGTCAGGTGCCTGAGGGACCTCAGCAGCCAAAACGGTCCATCCTTCTTCCTCCCTCTTCACGAGGCTCGCCAGGTACTTTGCCATGGAGGCCTTTGCCTTAGCCTTGGCCTCTGCTACCGCGGCACCAGCGTAGGCGGGGGCGTACATGGCTTTGAGAGTAGGGGAAAGAAAGATTTCAAATCACAAGACAAAAGATCAAAAGGTCCACTTGAGCCAAAATGGTGGCCCAAGTGGATACTTATTAAGAGTCAAGACAAGCGACCACCTACGGTTAACGCTTTAGCCCAGAATAATCCAAAGATAACTTTACTACGTCTTGCAGTACTGCACTAGGGTGAAAGCAAACAGCACAATGTGGGCAAGGAAAGGGGATGACTACATCAACATGGGGCAGATTACGCCAGCTGTCACCCAGGATTTTTTGGAGGATGTCACTTTGATGTACCCAGTTCAACCACCCATGTTGTTCGTGCCTCACTGACTGACTGGGCGGCTGGCAAGGAGCTTTCTGGCAGATGGCACCCCAGGAGCTGCACGACAGGATGCGTAGCGCAGGGGCTTGTGGAGCCTAAGTGCAGCTGCGCCCTCGGAATGTGGGGCTTTTCTTGGTGGCTTTGAAGGAAATCAAAAGGAAATCACGTGGAGATGTATTTTGAGACTCGCCCGCCTATCTCGAACTGACACTCAAATCTCAGTTGGCAAAATCCTGAAAGCAGTGGGTCAAACAGTCCAGGCCGGCGCACAAGTATGGTTCCACCTGCTGAAGGCTGCCGATGGTTCCCATGGAACCTCGTGCTTTCAGGTCCCAAGCGTGGTCCCAAAACCCAAATCTGCCCCAAGTGTTACAACCCTCACCATAACCCCGACTACACCAGAGGGGAAACAGTTTAGGTCACTGCACGACTCTGAGGGCTGCGACAGGAGCGTCACTTTCTCGGCCTGGCGCTCGATCATGATGCTTTACAAATGAATGATTGGCTGGTCGGGCAAAAAGGACGTTGACCACTGATAAGAAATCACATCTATGGAAGAAGTGCACGAATCCCCTTGTGGAATTCCTTGCGATGGTTACGATAAAATCATACTAAAGGGCACCGCGTCCAGTCCCCTCTCCGCAACAACCATCAGGTTGCATTACTTGACTTGGTTGCGCGGGGACAGTGCATGACCCACCCCAGGAATAACAGGGAGCAGCCTTGTTTTCTTCATCAACCCTCTGTGTCACTGCTTGCATTTGCCACTTTGCCTGCATTCGCTTTGCCCGGGGGCTCAGCTCCACGTTCGCGTCGGGAGGCACTACTACCTCGCAAAGCGAACCCAGCTAGGTGTTTCTCAAGAAGGGGGATCCCCAAAATGGTTGGTGCCCTTTCGTTTCCCTTTAAGCCCGCCCCAAAATGGGTACCCTCAAGAAAAGGCACACCCCGATGTCCAGGATGGCTAGAAACCTTCGCCGGGGTTGGCCATTTCCGGGGCTCCACGCCGTTGCGCTTTTGCACGGCCGGCCGTCCACAAGGATTTGGCCGAGCCCTCGGTGATTTGTTTGCGAAAACTTACTGGCTTTTGGTTCTACTGTTCTGGTTCTAGTTGTTTGTACAGGCCATACTTTAACCCCAGTTCAACCAGGCAGAAGAACCGCCTACTATGTTAAAGGCTTGCCTACTGTACTTGACGCCACTTTACTTGGGGAGGTGTTTCTTGCTGTGCTTATTGTTGTTTCGCAAGAATCCATTCACTGACGACTCTGGTAACCACCTGGTTTTCGACATGCAACTGTTCATCCCACTGTAAAACAGTACGGCAGTACGGTAGTACGTCTTCTCTCTAGAATGACACTGGCTACACTTGGTAAGCACGTATATATATATATATATATTATGTGTATATATATATATATATATCATATGTATATATCATATTGCATTGTTCATTACTTTGCCAAACACTGGCTTTCCGGAGATCCAGAGAATCACGAGCCCACCTTCCGAAGCTCTTCTACATCATGCCGACGCGCTGTCAACTGCAAACGGGTGTGAACACAGCCCGCAGGATGCGCAAGCCAAGGCCTCAATGTGCCATGGCACTGCCTATTCACGCAGCATTCAAGAGGTGAAACAGCCTGAGCCCAAGATTCCACTGGCGCAGGCCTGAAATGAAGTCGGCCTCTCTGGAATGGTGCAAACCACCCACGGCCAGTTCTCAGACATTAAGCACTATAAACACATGGTCAACGCCTTCCAGCCTGGCATATTTTTTGTGACCAAAGCAGGATTGATCTGATCCACACTACAAAGAAGTCAAGCAACAAGCAGTTGCAGCGAAGGATGAAATGTGTCATGACCGTGGCAGCGCGGCAAAACCTCAGGCGCCCACGCGCATATCTGGTGGCCTCGTTGCGGCTGCAAAGGCCCATCCTGCTTGCATCGAAATCCAAGATTTTGGGCCGCTGCTGTCCCGATGCTGATTCCGAATATTCTGAAGCTCATCAGGTGCGAGTCCCAACCTGAAAGGCTAGGCATCTCTGGAAAAGGAGCGCTCACCACAGGTGAGGTCGGTTGGCCCTCCCTGTTCCGCACCAATATTCAGGCCACTACATTCTTGAAGGCAATGTCTCCTTGAGAAGATACTACTTCTCCAAATGGCAAGGGGATCCTGTTAAAGCATAACCATAAAACGGTTTGGTCCTGGGCAACGATTCGTTGCCTAAATGACCCAGCTCAGAACATCACCCCTACCAATACGCAGGGCACTAACGGACCCCTGTCCCTTTGCTGCAAAGGAACAACACACACACACACACAGAACCAACTAGCAGCACAGTCCTGGCGCACAGGACCGCCAAACGCTCCGCCTGGCACAAAGCCGATGCTGGCAATGTGTATCCCCAGGTTTGCCAGTATGTGGATGTCGGCATGATACATGTGGTGGGTGTTTCAAAACATGGCTCCCCCCTGAATGGATTTAAAGGGCAACAAATCTGTACCACCCACCATCTGTAGGGCACCGCATGTGGGAAATAGTGAGTTATATAATATACTGTCTGTTGCTTCCAGTTGCGCGCGGAAGTGTCCTAAATTGGGGGACCCGCTTTCGGACGTGGTTCAAACTTCAATCGGAAACCAAAGAAACACCGGCCCATCTTGTGGGTACTAGGACACACCCATTTGAAGCTCCCCAGGCAAATGACTGTTGAGCGCCCTGAGCGCCCTCTCTAAAGCGAGCAAGGAGTGGCCATCAAGCAGCAACTTGCTGCGGGGCATGGAAGCTGAGGCTCAACTTACGCGTCAAGGATGTGTCTTGTCAAAATCAGGAAGGTCGTTTGGGACCCAACTTCAAAGGCAGAGTGACAAGGCCCCAAACCCATTTGGGCCCCACATTTTGCCAGCTCCATGTCTTGCCTTGTGACAAGTTGCCTGCTAAGCTTCGGTGTGATGTGTTGCCCGTGTGTGCTGGCTCCCAAAAATATGTATCAATCGGGGCTGAACCCCTTGCCTGGTAGCGAGCCCAAGACGCAACCATGCAAAATGTTTGCTGTGCAGTGCCCTCAGAAACAAAATCGCAAAGCCAACTTGTAGGGTCCTCATTGCTTTGTTTTAAACTTAGCTGTATGCTAGGACCGCGTTGGTGAGGTGCAGAACCCTGTGGAAAGCTACCTGAGAGCCATTTGCCGGACAGCCGCTCATTGAAAGTCTTTTTGTGCCAACGCCCTGGGGCGCGTGCAGACCGTCATGTTATGCATTGCATGCATGTCATGCATGAAGCATGACGCTTGCTCTCAACAAGCTACAAGAGCGTCCACTTGGTTTAACTACCCGAATCGGCTTCGGCCTCGGCCTCGGCTCAAGTGCAAGTCATTGTTTGGTCCGTTCTTCAGAGGGTTTTGCGCACGACCTCCGCTGGAAAACGGGGTTTGTGTGAAACCATCCTGAAGGTCGCTGGTCGCTTGGACGGAACAGGCTGCTCTTCTGCAGCATACATCTGGATTTCGGCATGCATCAGCATCCTGGTCATTGGATGTTCTCCATTAAAAACAGGACTGAATCCATGCTGGGAGCTCATCCCAGGCAATGCCACCCTCGCGGAAGGGTTCCGGCAACCCCCGCCGCGTCACCTTCAGCTCCCGGCCGTCCGCCTGCGAACCAGAGGCTTCGGCTTGCTTGGCGCTCCAACTAAAAACCCGCCCCCTAAAAAGGCCTTCAAAGGGGATGACCCTGCCCAAAAAACAGGTCTACCTTAAACGCAAAACGCGCTAAAAACCGACGTGTCACCCGAAAACCCGTCTGACGCACCTCGCGCACATGGAAGGACTCGCCGATGTCCGCAGGCAGCGGCTCAAGGAGCTCCTGGCGAGGCTTGCCCAACCTGCCACAAGTAGGACCCGTGCCCAGGTGTTTTTCTCAAACCTACGGTTGGTTCCCTTTTTGGGTTCTGGTGTTTCTCCAAAATTGGACAGTTGCCTCTGGTTGGATTTTTTGTGGGTGTCCGCTCAGCCACCAAAACCCGGAGACCGGTCGAAGTTGCTCCAAGGCTCCTGGCCCTCCACCGGATTCGTGGCGTGGAGCCAGCGGAGCAACGCGGCGTTCACCGCGGCCGGGGACTCGAAGTGCGGGCAGTGCCCACCTCAGATGTGCGGAGCACTGGTCATCCCTTGGTTGCGTTGCACATCTTCAAGGGAAACCCTTTCCCCCAAAACAGTAAAAACACAGGAAAAAGGAACAACTCATGGGCGCCACGCCTTTGGTTGATTTTAAAGGGAAACGCGTCCCTCCAAAAGCAAAACACGGGTGTCGGTGGAAGAAAGAGTTGGACGTCTTTTCGTGGTAGTTGTTTGTGTGGGAACCCCCATCCAGAAACTGATTGGTGCCAACTCTTCTTTGGTTGATGTTGAAGTGAAATCCTGCCCAAGACAAGGAACAACAGCACACAAGTAAAAAAAACAAAGAGAGCGCAGCTAGGCCACTGGGGGAGACCTGAAAATAGTCGGCTGATGGCGCCGTCATGTAAGCTCTGGCGCCCCAATATGGGACAATCCACGGATCCTCTCGGCCATACAAAAGCAAGGCGGGCACCTTTCGAGCGACCACCTGCTGCAGCGCGTCCTCAGGGTTCCCCAGATTGCCCCGAACATCTCACCAAATCAAAGGGAGACTCACCTCAAATGGACCAAACAAAGTGCAGGAAACATTGGGACCCCAGAGCCTCGAAGGACAGCTCTGCCTGGGGGGTGAAAAGGATCTGAGAAAAGGCCGCCGCCCCATTCGGGTGGTCCGCCATCGCTGCGATGCGCACCGGCAGTTGGTGCCCGACCCCGGCCGGATTCACCGTTACAAAGTTCAGGAGCCACTCGATGGAGTCCGGGTTCCGCAAGGTATTGTACCTGAAATCTTCGAGACCCCTGGTGTTAGAAAAACACTGACGGTTGAGTGTTTTTTAGAAAAGTGGCACCGTCCCCATGGTGGATGCGATGCGGAAGAAATAGTACCGTTGGAGAGGTCTCCCAAAATGAGGAAAACCCAGCCACCCAGCGCGGGAAAACCGTCACAGGAACGTATTGGAGGGGTCGGTGCGTTTGCTGCATGTGGGCGTGAGTTCCCCCCGTGGTGGACATAATTTAGGTGGGAGGGTCATAGGAGTCGTATTTGCGATCACAGCTCTAAAAACTTGCGCCAGGACAGACCTACTTGCTCCTGCTTTGAGGTGCAACAAATTCCTCACATAAGCCACCGCCGAAGTAAGGCCCAAAATTGTATTCACTATGTCGTTAGTGTCCGGTATAGTCAGTCTTGCAGGTTTAAGACTGTTGATGGGGGAGGGTGCAAAGGTATCGTTTTTGTGAGTCCCTCTTGTGTTCCATGCAAATTGCAAGGGCGACAGGAAACAAAATACGTGATTTAAATGTGCTTCAGAATAAGTTGCCAGTTTCATGCACATGGGTGTCTTTTCCGAGGATGCGCTTTTGCGGGGTCGTTGTGTATAAAAGCAAGCCACAGACTGTGTTGGGGCTCCAAAGTCCCATTCGAGGTCTGTCAAGACCCCCTTCCAAAAAGCATACCCCAACAAAAACACCGGCGGCATAAGGTTTTGGTTGGGGCCGGGCCAAACCCGTAAATTGGGGCGGGGGGGGAATGACACGGACACCTAGTAGCTATGTTGCAATCTCAAGCCCTTAGAAACAATACTCTGAAGGTGGTTGTAAAATAGACCCTACGTGTCCACCATATTCAGGGTGGGGGGAGTGGTATGATGTGGTATGATAGACCTCCTTTGGGGACGAACCCATGAGCTCCTTCCGGCCATGGCACCAAGTCAGCGCCAAAGCCCTCACGGATCTGGGCACAGGCAATCGGCCCTTCCAGGGGAACGCGCTGTGCCTGGGCCAGAGCACAACCCCGCTGGAGAAATCCCAGGGTTTGCCTTTTGCCGAAGCTGCCATGCTTCCTCTCACCATGCTTTGTAAGGCCACCACTTTTCGTCTAAACTCGCCATTCCCAATGCCACTGTGGTCCGTTGGTACATGAAAATTGTTTGTAGTGAAACAAACACCATGCTTTGCTTGGCCACATTTCCCAGTTTACGAAACACCCATGTCTCAGATGAGTCGCACCCGTTCAGATGAATTGATCGTCTCAAAATTGTTCTGGCTGAACTAGGATGATTTCAACTTATCCAAAATCATGCTTGCCCCTAAGCAAGAACCCGCCCCCCCCCCCAAGTATCCACGCTTTGCCATCTGTCTGAAGTTGTCCATCCAAGTAGAATCTCTTAAAACATCACTCCAACTATCCTGTTGGAATTCGTCTGCCATCATTCCCAATTCAAGCGCAGTATTGCCACCAAGGTAGTCTTCCAACATTATTTCGAGTGTGCTTTCGTTTTGGGGGGGGGGGGGCTAAAATCTGACCTTGTGCACCTTTTCCGCCTTGTCAGAGTTTGGGTTCTTAATCTGGAACCACCCACTGGCCAGGTCCCAGGTTAACATCACCCCCCATGAAGCTAGGTCAAACAAAATGTACCCAAAATGGAACCCTGGTAAATGGAAACTTGGACTAGCACCTGCGTAACCCCTCCTGTTTAATTTTGCCCCACACCCATATAACATGGCCAGTGGGTTTGAAAAGGCGCGGCTGGCCAAGCCACAGCCCGGGGTTCTTGGCGCGGTTGGGGATCCACCCCCAGAAGGGAGTCGCATTGAGCAGCGCCACACCTCAGCTTGCGAAACATGGGGTGGGCGCTTTTTAGAGGGCGCCGTGTGCTGGGTTTAAAGGGAACACAAAAAACCACCGAAAATGGGGTCCCCCTATCTTGACACATAAATGGGTACACCATGGCAAAAGTAGACCCCTGACAAAAATGAGGTTGTTCAAACAATTGTGGTTGAAACTATGTTGAAACTATGTACGTTTCAGCAATAGTTCTGTTCAATGGAAACCAACATGCACTTTTGTCTGGGATCGGCGCCTCGTTGGCTGGTGCTAAAGGGAAACTCGGCTACCAAAAGGAAAAGAACACCCCAAGAAAGGAGCTGCTGGGCGCTTTGTGGACAGAACTGCCCCCTACAGCCTTTTGGGGCCACGTGTCTTGGCTTTGGTGCTATGGCATCGCTCCTGCGAATTTGGTTGCAGCTTCAGGTGGTAAGCTTCCCCGATTGAAAGCCGATGGCGCCACGATAGTGCATGGAGCCCTTTTTTTCAAACATTACCACCATCCTCACCTCCTGAAGTTACTAACTTCAGAGAGGCGCGCGCTGAAATCCATGTCAGTGTAGACACCTATGTTTAAACCACCTTGTTCCAATATTTCACCAGCCGCCTCGCTTCCAAGGACAGGACAGACGGTTGAACAAAAAACACCGTTTGGTTGGTTGCTTTTGTTGTGCTAACGCAAGATCCCCATTCTCACGACTTACTTCATCACTTCAAAGGGCGTCCCGGATTCGCTGGGAATCACAATAAGTCTTCGTGCCCAGCCCTTCCCTGCCTTTGATGCGCTGCAGGGTGCTGTCCTCCATGAAGGCAGTGGCCAAGACGGTCAAGTACCCACCCAGCGAGTTCCCCGCCAGGATCACCTGGTCCAGCGGGGAGCCACCGCCCGGTTTCCCATGAGGACATGGGATATTTGCCGTGTGCCCTGGTTTTTGTGGGAACTTTGGTGAGTGCCACATGCCCCTCCCAAATGGAGCATGGACTACCGGAAGTGTTGACTGAAACTCTGTTGAGGCTACCCTTTTCAACTTGCTCAACTTGCTTTGAAGGACAACCAAAAGGAATTCTTCCCCTTCCCCAACAGCTATTTCCACACGCGTGCCCATCTAAGGGTCTTTGTAAATACCATCTTTACATAGATGACACCAAAAGGCGTGGTGTACTTGGTTCTATAACAGCCAAACGAGGCCGTGAGTGTTTTCGGACGCACCTTGGGCTCTGCCACCAACTGCGAGATAAAGTCCTTGATCTGCTGCACCCAGAGATCCTCGCCGATGACCATGTCCTCATACTGAGGGTCTGGGCTTCCAAAGCCCCACTGGCTCCCTGCCACGTCTTGCAGCTCCTGCGGGCCCCCAGGCGCCGGGTCCCGATCCGGCCAGGACAGACCCGCACCCACGTTGTCCATGGCATACACGGTGTACCCCGCTTGGCTCAAGGGCGCAAACTGGTGTTCGTAGTGAAAGGAGGCCACGCCGAAGCCGTGGAGCAAAACCACGGCCGTGTCGCTGGGTAGCTTTGACGCTTTGGCATAATGGACAGTAATGCCCTCCTTCCACTGCCAAAATTTGCTCTCCGCAGTCCGGGGTCGCATCAGCTCCTCCCGGTCCTCCACACGCCGACGGACTCTACTCCTCGCAGCCGCAGCTGTGGCCAGCGGTGCAAGCCACACATGAGGCCAGTGCCCGAGGGTAGGTTTCCGGACACCCGCGCGGACGCCTTGGCAGCCTTGGCAGGGACTCCCAGCGCTGACGGCTCTGGCTCCAGCTTGAAGTTCTGGCCCAAGAAGCATGGCTCCGTTGGAACTATTGGAGCATCTTTGTCTCGTGTCATGTCGAGTTGGCTCAACACGTGTTTGTCCAACTTGGGCTTTCTTGCTCTTACGGTGATGCCGGGGATCTGCTGACCATGCATGCTTGCATCTGGTATGAGCTCTCCTTTGGTCAAGGCAGCATTTCTACTTATGCAGTGCCCTTCATGAGCCATTGCCTCTGCAGACCGCACACTTTGCAGATCAATTAGTGTCCTTGCGAACCCTCAGTAGCCTTCTTGCACTCTTGCTGGTGAACCGGCGAACTTGTATAATTGTTTTTCCCGCGAGGCGAGTCAATTCCAAGCATTGTGCAGCACAAGTTGCTTCGACTTGCTGCTGTTGAAAATGTGGCGAGGCGCGCTCATGTCTACGCCTGGCAAGGTTGAAATGCCCGCCCGGATGGTTTCCGCTATCCCCAAACCACCCCCAAGGGAAAATTGGGTATACAGCCATTACAGTCACTATATACACATTGTATAAAGCCCTTCCCTGGTTTTCCTTTTGGGGTAGTGGCTTGGGCGGAGAGAAAAGTATCTGATGATATATAAACATATATATATATATACATATTCTTTGGACTGCGGCATACAAACATAGAGACAAGCCTTGATCTTCCAGGACCCTGAAAAAAGCAGGCCTTTGGATGATCCTCCGACTCAATTCAAGAGGAAAACCAAGAGGAACCCTGTTTTTCAGGGCGCTTGGGTAGACCGGCAGAGCAAGGAATCGCCAAATATCAATGGTCTCATCGATGGCTGGCTTCGGTTGGCGCTCTGCCTCCTTGGGGCACTCTCCGCAGTCCTTGACGATGACCTGTTCACCATCTTGGCAGATGCATGCCAGCCACAAAGGAATCTATTTCTATGTGTATATATGTATGTTTGTGTTTTCGAGGGTTCTCTTTCTAGGCTTATTACAAGGCAAAGAAACCAAAGGGAACACCCGCCAATCTGTAGGTTCCCCCAAGTTTTGGCTCTCTGATTGCTCATGGCCCCGCAGGAGTCCGATGTCACATACAAGCAACCCGGTTACGGTGGGTTTAGGCAAAAAGGGCACCACAGGCTGCAAAGTCCCAAAAACACGAAAAGCGGAGCTGAAATAGCCAACTGTGTGTGTGGGTTTTGAGGGCACTATTTGGGCACAAACCAATTGCACGTCCGGTCGGCATGACGTCTTTGCAGCGGAAAGCATCTCTTTGTTCGGAGAAGCACCAAATGAATATGCTGTTGGGAGTTGGTAGTACCCTGTGTTGAGTTGGTTTACACGAAAACTAACGGGAAACCACCCATTTGGAAAAACTCCTATTTTCATCCATACCTGCGTGTGCTGCCCACCTTGCGGAAGCCTTTGAATCAACCTTTGGCTCAGCCTGTGACTCCCTTTGATCCTTCCAAAGCCCAACCTTCGATTTGATTTGCTCGCCCCATTCACGTTCTTCATGTTCTTCATGTTCTTCATTGTTCTTCCCACCCCCCCACCCCCCACCAAAGCCCGTCCATGGGCAAAATGCTTCCGCCAAAATACTTCCCACCCAAGCATTGGCTCTGGGAAATCAGCTTAAAATATCACAAAATGGCAAGAACACCAACTGATGCGCTTGGTTCTGCAGAACGCCAAACGGGTTCAAATCCCACCACTCCAAACGCGCACCCCTCCCCCCCCCCCCCCGCACCCTGAGGGAGGGCATGCCATCGGAGCTGCCCACCTTCTCGATGGCCTGTCCAATCTCCGAGTGACCCATACGAATTTCCCAAAACCTCAGCACTATAACTCAGCTGCCCTCTATTTGGTTTGGAGGCTAGGAGGTTTCGCGGCTTCCCATGATCCCTCAACAAGAACCTGGGGCACTGACTGGGCACTGTAAGAGGTAAAATAAGCAAAGCATTTCATTCGATGGGGCTCATCCATTGAGACCACAAACAGCTGCCGCAGCGTTCCTCGAAAAAAAGGGGTCGTTAAAACCAAATTGAGTCATGATCATCGTGCGATATGCATGCATAGGGGGACGCTCAAAATGCAGATTCCCTTTTTGGTTGCCCTTCAACCTCAAAGACGGCACCCTGACTTACAAATGTACCCACCTGAAGTTTGCCTTGAAGAGAAGGCCATGGCGGGAGGTCTACATCAAATCCCTGCTGGGAATGTTTGGGACTTCATCCTTGGGCAAGCAGAACTGGAATTTGCCAGTGGTTCAACTGGCCTCACTTCGTGGGGGGCACTTACAAACAAAAACTTTTCGGGCAAAGAAAGCGGGGAAACCCGTTTAGGCGAGACCCGAAGGGGAACCCAATTGTGACCTCCAATTTGTAGGGATTGTCACAGCTGCCGCTCAGCTCACCAGCCTTGACCACCGAGTAACCCTTCACCACTTGCCCGAAGACCACGTGTTTGCCGTCGAGGTGGGTCGTCTTTACCGTGCAAAGGAAGAACTGGCTGCCGTTGGTGTTTGCACCTCCGGCATGACAAGGTAAACACGCACAAACGAAAACATGCAAGCCAGGCACAGACACACACACACACGCAAACACAAACACAAACACACAAATACAACACGCAAAGGACACATGCAAGCGAGGGAACCAAGCAAACAAACACACAAGGAAGCAAACAAACGAAAATCGCGAAACCAATACAGATCAGACACAATTCAAATACCTGACGGGCTCCTTGACTCCTGGCCTGCGTTGGCCATGGACAAAATCCCAGCTCCCTCGTGCTTCAGCGAGAAGTTCTCATCCTCGAACTTCTCGCCATAGATGGATTTGCCCCCAGTGCCATTTCCTCAGGAATCTCTGGAAGTGTTTGTTGAGACCCCCAGAAACCAAACAACAGTTGCTGACGGACGATTGCTGGCTCCTTGTCCTTGTGCTGTTCCAATGGTTTCTCCAAAAGCATTCGTGACATGAAACCTGACCGAGAGTCTCTCTCACAAACTGGCAGGCAGAATTTGTTGATTCCGGTGTCTCGCAGAGGCTAGATATTGTCGGTGGGACTGGTGTGGTCAAAGCTACTTATCAATGCTGGCTGTCGAACCCCCGACCCAAGGACCTGCAGCCATCCCGAGCAAAACCTCAAGAATGTTCGACTGGTCGTTAGACACTGGCAAACATTTGGGGGAGGAGGCTGAGTTGAAGGCGCTCGCTCGTTTTCACTCTGCTCCGTTGTGTGTGCCTGAGTGTTAATGGCTTTGGTCAACCACGGTATCCTGCTACAGAGCCAGGACCCAGCGGTCCCCAACAGGTTCCCAACTCTACCACCCGCACTTTCCTGACTGGGCACAGCCCCAGAGCAGGGAAGGCACGAAGGTGGAAAAGCAGATGGAATCTGCTGGTAGCGGCAGCCGCCTCACACCCGTGAAACTGCCTTGCAGGCAGCACAAGGGTTGAGGCCTGTCGCACCCCCTTGACGAGAAGGCCCAGCGTGCGACTCGCCTGAGGGTTGGGTGGGTGGGAAAAGAAAATAGCTGTTTTGGCTCTTGAGCCAAAATGGCCGCCCAAGGCGTACCCATTTTGGACAAGAGCTCTCACTCCCCTCAAATGAGTCCATGTCACCCTGGCCTGCCAAACACTAACATGGGGAATGTTGCCTGCCTGCTACACTTGGGGGCTTCGCAATTTTCGTACGATATTCACGCTCCCAGAACACAGAAACGCAGCCTCTTTCACGAGCCTATCGCGACGCCATCGCGCCCTTTTGTTTGCAGCGCGCGCTCACGCCATCCTGCCACTCACGTGGCCCTATTTCATGCAACCACTTCTACTTGCCCCTTCCCTCGTGCTTGCCAGGAATGCTCCAGCTAGGACCCAACGCGCGCAACCTTGCAACAAACTCCTTTGGTTTTCGCCTGTTCTTGGCGGATGCTTCGCGAATCTTTCTCCGACATAGTCCAGCCAACGTTCTATATAGTTTTGAACCATTCCTTGCAAGTAAAGGTGCTGCACATCTCCCTGAGTGCGGCCTGCAAATATGTAAGCCTGTCAAACATGCCTCCAGGAAGACGCAGGCACATCTTTCGCGAAAAAGAACAAGTCGCTTTCGCAGACTCCTTCGCAAATCTTTCGCGGCCACAGACGCCTGCAATGCTGCGTCCTCCGCATTCCAAGTCCTTACAAGACCTTTTGATCAACTCTATATCACATCTAAAAAACAAACACAACAGTGAACATAAATTCGGAACCTCTTTGCCCGTGATCAAATCATCCGAAATTATGAAGTTGTGCAGAATATTCAGTTCACTTCTCGGTTCATTTTCGTGCAAGCGGATTCGGATTGTGCGAACACATTGCCCTAGACTTCAGGGGGTGCAGGTTTGTGCGCTTGTTATAAAATGGGGAAGTTCCATCCTTCTCCCATGAATCACAGACCAACACATGCAGCAAAGACACCTTTGGTGAAGTCTCCGCCCTAGGCGTGGGAATGCAAGCCTCCGCTCTTCCCTCTGATTGGTGCTTTGGATTGGTGGTTTGGAGGTTACGGTGAGGTTTATCATCGGCCCGTCAACCCCAAACTTCCAATCCAAACCAATTTAAGGTTGCCTGAGAGGGACGAATCCATAAACTATGCGTCTAAAACACTCACACACACACACACACACCACAGGGCTTGAAGACCAACAGAAGTCTCCTATTAACCCCAAACTAAGTCCACATGCGGACCTGTGTTGGATTCCTTTGCAGCAAGGGCTGCCCTGTCGGAAATGAGCTGTGTTTCCTGGCTGCCAGCGTGAAAACCGTCCAAAAAGCCTGGGAACATGTTCTGTGCCCATAAAGGTAAGCCGGCAAAGCTGAAGAAAACGAGGAAGCACACTCTCAGTCCCTCTGGTAGAAAGCCAAGAACACAAGAGCGGTGTTGCAGACTGCGATGATGGCCCTTTCTCGAATGTTGCGTAACTACCCTTCCAAATAGGTAGATTTCAGTGGGCCAACGAGCAAGCCGGTTGAACAAAGATTGACCCGCGCAAACGCAAACACCCAGGAGCCTTTCCAACTCCCACATGCCCAAACAAATAGATGTTGAGAAAAACTACCGCGGAAGACGCCCAGCAAGAATGAGGTTTGGGCTACAATGAGCTAGCAAAATCCAACACACCTCAAGTGAAGGAAACTGGCCCAGCCTGGCACATGAACTCTGGGATGATTCGATGGAACTTGGAACCTCGCTTCGGCCGATTTCGAAGGTTTGGGTGACTGGTGCGTAAATCAGCCTTGCACATATGTAGAATATACAAGTGCAGCTTATGACACGGGCAGCCACAAGGAAACGGAAGCCATAGCTGGTGCTTGGGCGCGCTCTCTGGCTCAGGCGAGAACCTTTGTAGCCAAAGCCCTTCTCGCCGGTGCACAAAGCCCGGAAGTTTTCCGCCTCTCTCGCGAGTTCAATCAGCGCAAGGCCGCACAAATGCACTAGCAGGCAGCCAAATGAGCTGCTTCTATGGATGGAAAGGAGTATACGCTTGGTGATCCCAACTTGTGCTACGGTTTCCACTACCCGCAAACCACTATGGTGTACAACTTGCATATTCTCTTCGAGGTACGGTTGGTTCCGGGGTGGGAACCCTCGACAGATCACGTCGAGGAACCTGGATTCTTCCAAATCCCTGGGAAATGGGATTTTGCCCCTTGTGGAGCCCTCATGTAGCCTGTTCCAGGCTCCATGGTGACATCCGGAACTGAGAAAGGGCTGAAAAGCAGCAGATCAATCTTTGCTGACCGATTTCCAAGAGCCCAGCTGTCTTTGGCGCCTTGTCAGCCTCACGCGGGTAGACTTGTCCGCTCGCCCTTTCAAATGGGATCAAAGGCGCACCCATAAAAGGAATCAAAATTATAAAGTCCCAAGCTAAACAACAAATCCAATAGATGCCAGGCAGCTTTCAGCTCAATCTCGATTCTCCCGATCACTTTGCCATCCGCATCAATGTCCATCCAAACCCGTGGGTTCTCAGCATTTGGCTCACCTCAGGCCAAGCCCCACAAGCGCCACAATCTGGAATGCGTCGAAACAACTTTCTTGTTTGGGGTTCGTTGTTTTCGGAACTTTCAGAATGTGGTGAGTCACTCATGTTGGTTTCTTTATAATGCCAGCCAAACAAAGGCCCATTGGCCTCGACTCACAGCATTGCTTGACCAGCTCCAGCTTGGACTACAAGCTGAATGCAATGTCACAAAGCCGCACGTGAGCCCTGCGAAAACACGCAAAGACACACACACACAAACAAACGCAAACAAACAAATACACGCAGACAGACAGACAGACAGACAGACAGACAGGCAGACAGACAAGACAGACAGACAGACAAGACAGACAGACAGACAGACAGACAGACAGACAGACAGACAGACAGACAGACAGACAGACAGACAGACAGACAGACAGACAGACAGACAAACAGGCAAACAGAAAGACAGACAGACAGACAGACAGAAAGACAGACAGACAGACAGACAGACCGAAAGAAGGACAGACAGAAAGACAGACAGAAGGACAGACAGACAGGCAGGCAGACAGGCAGGCAAACAGGCAGGCAGGCAGGCAGGCAGGCAGGCAGGCAGGCAGGCAGGCATGTAGGCAGGCAGGCAGGAAGGCAGGAAGGCAGGCAGGCAAGCAGGCAAGCAAGCCAGCAAGAAAACAAAAACAATAAAAAACTCAACTGCGAAATGAAACACAAACAACCACAACCCCGCAAGCACACACAAACACACACGCACAAAAAACACAAACAAACCAAACCAAAACAAAGCAAACCAAACCAAAACAAAGCAAACCAAACCAAAAAAAGCAACCAAACAACCAAACAAACTAACAAATAAGCAAACAAGAACACACAGACAAAAAAAAACAAACAAACACACAACAATAATAAAACAAATAAACGAACAAACAAACAAACAAACAACAATAACAAATCAAATAAGCAAACAAACAAACAAGCAAGCAAGCAAGCAAACAAACAAACAAACACACACAAACAACAATAACAAAAAGACGAAGAAAGAAAGAAAGAAAGAAATAAACAAACAAACAAAACCAAGAAACACATACCCAAACTCACACACACCAACAAACAAACAAACAAACACACAGACAAACAAACAAACAAACAAACAAACAATCAAACAAGCAAACAAGCAAACAAACAAACAAACAAACAAACAAAACAAAACAAATAAATACATAAACAAACAAACAAACAAACAAACAAACAAACAAACAAACAAACAACAAACAAACAAACAAACAAACAAACAAACAAGCAAACAAACATATAACGGCAAGCCGCTGACAAACACACACACACACACACACACACACTTGAACTCCAGATGGAGAGTGCTAATCTTTCGAGTACAACTGATGAGTCTCGAGTACAACCGACAAGTCTCGAGTACGATGAGTTTCGGCTCGCAATGCACTTGGCTTCCCTGTAGGTACTTTAACAGGGAAACACAAACAACGGCGGTTCAGGGAGGGGACCAAAAGGACTTTCAGCAACATCACGACGCAGGTACAGGTGTCCACGTCTGGACACCCTTCCCACCTTTGGCAGTAGCTTCATTGCGTGCAGTATGCCAAAGGTGCTGCACGCCCCTGCTGCGAAATAGAAAGGGTGGTGACAGGGCATTCTGTCACTCCGCACACACACGCCCCTCTACGAGGGGCGAGGTTTCTCTTTTCTCCTGCAGGAAGATCACATGCTCAAACTCAAATCACTATCGTTGACCAAAATATCCACCACGGCGAGGGGAGCGAGACACTGCCCTAAACCGCTCAGAAGACGGGAACGAAAGATCACCACGTTGAGCGTTGCGAGTGTCGCCATAGAGGACTGAAGCGATTTGTGAAGCAGCCTGGCGATCACCATGAGAAAACGGAGTGGCATAGGTGAAGGTCTCCTCAACTTGAACGGCATCGGAGTTCCGACCTTGACCAAGAGTCTGATCCTGTGAATCGTGAGTTGCGAAGGACTCCATCCGAGACAGAATGCGCTGGTACCCTTGGTGTTGCCAGTCACGGATGTTCCATGCCTGGACTGGCGCTTCGGGATCCGTCACCCGCTGCCATTCACGAAAAGAGTTTTCAGGTAGATCAGGTACGGCGTCACCACGGTGCCATCGTTGAGGTTGTCCCGGAGTGTATATCCGCACCCACTCCTGATCATGCCAGACCGAATATTCGAGCCATGGATACTGCTTGGAATCATCGATGTCCATGTCGAGGCAGGAGGCAAGGATGGTCGCGGGCTCCGATCCAGCTAGTAGGTGGACAAGCACCATGCACAACCATGTTCAAACAACAGCAAAGCAAGATCATGCAAGTGTAGAGGTCACCCTTATTTTGTACGCTGCGCTGCTCATGCAAGGCTAGTCTTCAGTGAGCTCGAAGACGGGCCTCATCTTGTCTTGGCCGCTACCGGACGGATTCACGGGCGTGTAGGGGTCGGAGACCCCACTCGTCTCCGATGGTGTGTTGCCACGCGATGCACGTACTGGTTGATGAGGATGGGAGGTCTGACGTGCGCGGGCCGTCAGTTGTTGAGAAATCCCCTCCTGGAGACGAATCAGTTCTTCAGTGGAGAAATCAGCCGCATCCGAGGACCTGAGAATCGCGTCTAACAGCTCCGGCGACATACTCAACGCCGCCGACTGCGTGGCCACGTTATGGTGATCGGAGGGATACATGGAATCAAATTCATGACCAGCGTGAGGAGCAGCGATTCTCCGATAGCCCTCCGTGGCCCAGTCTCGCTTGTACCACGTAGTGACTTGGACTTGCCCATCGTCTGAGTCCTGGTTGGGAGCATAGAACTCCCGCCATTCTCTGAAAGTATGCGGAGGAGGTGGAGCATCCTGTTCTTCCTGAGGCGTCCATGGTCCCGGATGAAAGATCTTGACCCACTGGGCATCAGGTTGTTGCGGGTCCGGGCACCATTCCAGCCACGGCATGACAACGCAACCACGGAAAGTCAAGTTGATAGGTGTACGGCTGCAGACAACAACGAGTGAAAGCAACTCAACAATCAAAAGGCAAAGACCACTTTTGTAGCACTGTGCGGCGCCAACATCACAGTCAGACTCTCCAGGGAGGCGAGGACGGGCATCAGCTATCATGTGAATTGGATGATGCCGAAGAGGAGGTCATTCCAGCATACATGAGGTCCGGCGCACCCGAAGCGAAAACTGGCCTCGCTATGCTGGGATGTGGACGACCCAGGCGTTGGTACCCTCTGGTGACCCAGTCCCTGTAATACCAAGTGTAGAAAGTGGCGTGGGATACCGGTTGCAGAGCCGTGCCTATAGTTGTGCCGCCAGTGCTTTCCCTGGGCCAGTACACTTCGAAGTGGTAGACCTTGCGCCATTCCCGATAGGCGGTCGGGTCATCCGGGGCCGGTCCCAGGGTGTCAGGGGCTACTGGATGCCACTGACCCGGCACATAGATTCGAATCCATTCGACACTCGTTCCTGCTGGTCCATTGACGATGTCATAGTCAAAATAGCGAGGTAGGATCCATCCTGCTGCACCCTGCACCGTACTATTGAACATTTCAACCCGACAAGCTGCTCAAAGTTATCACAGAGAGCGGCGGACACATGGAGACAACATGCACAGCACCAAGCAAGACAACCCAATGAGAACTCACATTCAAAGCACGCACAACCTCATCTTTATCCAACATGCAACTCAAGAGTCAATCCGAATTATTCCAAGGATCATGGAATGGTGGCGGTGACGGTTCCCGCCACGCTCCATCAGGTACCGACGAGCCCACCGAGGACTCGATGTCTGCGTTGGCGAGCATCGCGAGTCCGATGGATTGGACAGGGGGTCCAAGTCGTTGGTACCCTCGCGTTTGCCAGTCTCGGTACTCCCACACGTGATAGGACACATAGGCACTGGGCGTGGAAATAGGATCCATTGTGGTGCCTCCGGTGCTGTCTTCAGACCAGTACACTTGGAAGTGGTATGATCTGCGCCACTCCCGAAATGTGGAAGCGTAAAGTGGGTCCGGAACTGGCGCTTCCTCCGGAACGGGCCTCCAAATGCCCGGAGAGTAAATTCGAATCCATTCCACTCCTCTGTCGATCTGGTACTCGAAATACTGGGGGTTCATAGCAGCAATACGGGCTTGCACGACTGCTGAACAAATCGAAAATCTGCGGCAAGGACACACATGCATTGCCAACCGCACACATCCACTGAGGAGCAAGGCAACTTTTCAAACACAAGGTGAAACGGGTCAGCGAGTTCTGAAATGTCTGAAACCTGGCTTTCACTGTCTTTGATGTCGCGCACACCTGCAATGATAGTGACCTGGTCGTCTACGTGCACAAGGGGAAAGACATTTCCGTCCATGGCGCAGGATGGCGTGACAGTAATGTTTGCATGTTGCCGATGGGGATCGCGATGAACGGCCAGCACGCTTGGAATAAAACACTGTAAAGGGCCGTCGAGATCGCCTCGGCGCTGAAGCTGATGCTGTCCGAGATCGTTTGGACGAGGGCCCTGGACTGCGTGGTTCTTCATCACGGGAGTGGTCACTGCTGTGAATCGAGCGGCGTGTGCGCTGCGATTTCGAAGAGGTAGGGCAGGATTGTCCACGAGGGGCTGAGATCGTGGGGCTGCGTACCGAGGGCATAAACTGTGGGTGAAGAATCACCGGTGGTGGTGGTGGTGGTGGAGGAGGAGGTGGAAGAAGCAATGGCAAACTTGGCGGGGGCGGAGGTGACGTAGTTAACCGTATGGGTCTGTCGAGTAGAGCCCCGGGTCCATGAAATTGTAACCACGTCGGCTGCGCTCCATGGGTCCAGGTAATGTACGTCTGTACAACTTGTTCCGACATGATTTGAGCAACTCAGGCAAGACATCACAGCATGTCAACGACATTGCACAACACGACAAGCAAGATTGATTCACATGCGAGCAAGCAAATATCATGTGATCAACAACGCGAATCGGACA